CAAGGAGTAATAACTTCCCATTGAATTAGTTGGTATGGAAGATGGTAGAAAGATTACATTTGTAACAGGGAAACCTGGAAGGTCCTACTTCCAGTTGGCGGCTGGATGCACATCAAGAGTGACAGGCCACGTTGATAGGACTTTGTGACCCAACACACATGGCATTTCACGTCTGTGTTCTTCCTCCCTCACACTTCTCTGCTTGGTCTATTATGAGTGAGACATCAGGGAAATCCTAATTAAGGAAAATTCCTAAAACTACTCCTCAAAAGTATCTAGGCAATCAAAGTGTAGGAAAGTCTGAAACACTGCTATAGCACAAAGAGACTGTAGAAGCAAGATGAGTCAATGAAGTTCAGGATGGTGGATGGGATCCTGAAACAGCAAAAAGACATAGAACAGAAACTGAGAAGCCATGGACTTTGGTGAACAATACCCATTCAATACCGGTTCAATATGTATTCTGCTAACCTAAGATGGAAATAATAGAGGAAACAGGATTCAGGTTATAAGGGAATCTTCTTAACCTGTCTTCAAAATTTTGTAGATATTTAAGTAATAAACAGAAACTATTTTAATTCAGACTACATCTTTTTTGTGGTGTGTTTGTGGTGTTTCCTAATGCGTGCATTCTTATGCTCTGTAATTCTACTCACAAGTCACTCATTTTAGCAATGTGCCATACATTTTTTTTTAGCCAAGTATATGCTGTAATCTTTGCTCTTCCCTAATTCTGTGAAGGCTGTGGAGGAAAGGATGTGAGGAAAATGAAAACTGTAAAAGAGACAATGATCCTGACATATTTATTATGAGAAAAAAGAAGTAGGCCTATCTGACATCAACAGAAAAAAATAAGTATAACACAATCTGCTAAGAAACAGAATAACCACACACCAGTCTCGGCTCCACAAATAACTCTATGTCTAGCCTTGAAGTCACTTAACTGCCACCGCCTCTACTGCCCTTGTTTATATAAGGAAATCGCTTCTGTCAGAAGAAAATCTTGGTGCAAAGGATGTGACCAAATATATCTAATGCAATAAAGAAGTTATGGGGGGGGGAATGGGTGATGAGGACATTTCCTTTGTTCTGCATAGCCAAAGTTTTCCAATTCCAGTTCCAGTGGAATGCTTCATGGGAAATGACAGGAAAGGTGACCGTCCCCAGAGGGGGATGAGCGCTGCGTGGAACTCACCTGAACTCTGGGAGATGCCACCCCGGACAAAACCATACCTAAGTCTTCCTGGAAAAACAAAAAGCAAAAAAAACAAAACACTTGCTAAGTTCTTAGACGTGAAGAACACGGGAGATCAGGAGATCACAGTTTTCAACAGAGAAGCAGCCATGACACTGCAGATGCCAGTCTGCATCCAGTAGCAATCTGAACTAAATAGCCATGGAGGCCACGTTCAAATTCAAAAGGCTGGGGGTTTCCTTTCATCTTTTTTGTTTTAATGACACCATCCCTCCGATCCCGGCCTCAAGCACCGTCCTGAGCTGTGCCCTCTCATGGGTCTCTTCCAGGAAAAGTCGATTCTGCTCAAACAAGAAGGAACTTGGAGGACACAGTGGTGTGGCGGCGGCTGGACTGTGTGCACAGGCCTCCCCAGGCCTCTCAGCGGGCAGAGGCGTGGCTGCAAGCACAGGCCTTCCCCGGATGTGGCGGAGGCTGGGCTGTGCGCACAGGCCTTCCCCGGGAGTGGCGGAAGCTGGGCTGTGCGCACACGCCTTCCCCGGGTGTGGCGGAGGCTGGGCTGTGCGCACACGCCTTCCCCGGGTGTGGCGGAGGCTGGGCTGTGTGCACAGGCCTTCCCCGGGTGTGGCGGAGGCTGGGCTGTGTGTACAGGCCTTCCCCATATGTGGTGGAGGCTGGGCTGTGTGTACAGGCCTTCCCAGGGTGTGGTGGAGGCTGGGCTGTGCGCACAGGCCTTCCCAGGGTGTGGTGGAGGCTGGGCTGTGTGCGCACACGCCTTTCCCGGGTGTGGCGGAGGCTGGGCTGTGTGTACAGGCCTTCCCCAGGTGTGGCGGAGGCTGGGCTGTGTGTACAGGCCTTCCCCGGGTGTGGCGGAGGCTGGGCTGTGTGCGCACGCCTTCCCAGGGTGTGGCGGAGGCTGGGCTGTGCGCACAGGCCTTCCCAGGGTGTGGCGGAGGCTGGGCTGTGCGCACAGGCCTTCCCAGGGTGTGCGGAGGCTGGGCTGTGCGCGCAGGCCTTCCCCGGGTGTGGCGGAGGCTGGGCTGTGTGCTCACGCCTTCCCCGGGTGTGGCGGAGGCTGGGCTGTGCGCACACGCCTTCCCCGGGTGTGGCGGAGGCTGGGCTGTGTGTACAGGCCTTCCCCGGGTGTGGCGGAGGCTGGGCTGTGTGCGCACGCCTTCCCAGGGTGTGGCGGAGGCTGGGCTGTGCGCACAGGCCTTCCCAGGGTGTGGCGGAGGCTGGGCTGTGCGCACAGGCCTTCCCAGGGTGTGGCGGAGGCTGGGCTGTGCGCACAGGCCTTCCCAGGGTGTGGCGGAGGCTGGGCTGTGCGCACAGGCCTTCCCCGGGTGTGGCGGAGGCTGGGCTGTGCGCGGCGGAGGCTGGGCTGTGCGCGCAGGCCTTCCCCGGGTGTGGCGGAGGCTGGGCTGTGTGCTCACGCCTTCCCCGGGTGTGGTGGAGGCTGGGCTGTGCGCTCAGGCCTTCCCCGGGTGTGGTGGAGGCTGGGCTGTGCGCACAGGCCTTCCCTGGGTGTGGTGGAGGCTGGGCTGTGTGCGCAGGCCTCCCCGGGAGTGGCAGAGGCTGGGCTGTGTGTACACGCCTTCCCCGGGTGTGGCGGAGGCTGGGCTGTGCGCACAGGCCTTCCCCGGGTGTGGCGGAGGCTGGGCTGTGTGTACAGGCCTTCCCCGGGTGTGGCGGAGGCTGGGCTGTGCGCGCAGGCCTTCCCCGGGGGTGGCGGAGGCTGGGCTGTGTGCGCAGGCCTCCCCGGGAGTGGCAGAGGCTGGGCTGTGCGCACAGGCCTTCCCCATATGTGGCGGAGGCTGGGCTGTGTGTGCAGGCCTTCCCCGGGTGTGGCGGAGGACGTGGAACTCCGTCTTCTTCCGCAAAGCAGGGAAACGTTAGCCATGGAGCTTCTGGTTCACCAACTTTAGAATCCGTCCTCCCCTCATTCTCCCGGTTCTCCGGCCGCACAGGCCTGCACGGGCTCCGTCCCATAGGCGAAAAAATAAAAACAATCAAAAGCCCTGGCCCCATGGACAGTGGTCTGGAAAGTTCTGGAGCTGACTGCCTGCAGAAGCCTCATCCCCTGTGCCCCAAAGCTTCCTTCCTTGAGGGTCAGGGAGATGCACTGTGGGTTTACTTTATTTTAGCTTTTAGTGTTTGCTTCTGAAGTTCACTGACAGGAGTAGGAGGGAGGAGGAGGGGGGAGGGAAGGGACTAGAGGAGGAGGGAGGAGAGGGGAGAGGAGGAAGGGAGGAAGAAAGGAGGGGGAGAAGGGAGGAGAGGGGGAAAGGAGGGAGAGATGAGGGGGAGGGGGAGGAGGGAGGGGGGGAGGAGGGGGGGGAAGGGGGGGGGGGGGGGGGGGGGGGCAGAGAAAAACTAAGAGTGGGCTGGCACCCGCGTGCAAAACTTTCCCGGAGCAGAGCGGGGAGTGGCGGTGGTGGGTCACCGGGCTCAGGTCTTCCCGGGGCAGGGGCGGCCGGCGGGGCTCCGGTCAGCCCCGGCCAGCGGGGAGGGCGGAGGGAGCCCCGGTGCCCGGCGTGGCCGGGGGGCGGCGGGCCGGGCTGCGGGCTGCGATCCTTGGAAATGCAGCATCATCCTCCATGCTCCCTTCCCGCGCCCCGAGACACAGCGGCGTGGGGGGCTCGGGAGGGGGCCGGGGACGCCCGCCCCGGCTCGGGTCCCCCCAGCCCGGCCCCAGCCCGACCCGCGCCCCGTCCACCTCGCACGCATCCACGCGGGCCGCCGCCGCGGGGTGGGGGGGAGGAACCCCAAACTCTAAAAATAACTCTCACAGAGCCCCTCCCCCTTCCCCTCCCCCTGGCTCCCTCCCACCCCCTTCCCCTGCCTCCCTCCCCCTGCCCGCCCCCTCCCCCGTGGGGGAGGACTGCAGCACGCCGAGGGAGGGCGCGACCGCGGGATCGCAGCTCGTGCGGTGAGCGGCGGCCCGGGCCGCGGCGTGGGGAGGGGAGGGGGGAGGAGGAGGGAGGAGGGGGAGGGTC